CTCCTCTCTCGCACCCTAATAATGAACTTCTTCAGAACCCTAATCTTGATTCTTCCTGAATTAAGATTCGTTATCAAGATAGCCGTAGCTGAAGCGCGCGCAACCAACTGGGCCCACTCTGGGATGCGCCGTGTGCTTCACATCTCGTTGGATTTGAGGACCTACTTGAAAGATAAAATATCCCTAGAAAACGTGCGAATTTCGGATCCTTTGACTTGTGTGGTGATGAAACACTAAAGTCACTAAGAATTGCTAAGCGGACACCTCTAAATCACGAAGATTTTGTGTGGACGGAATCAATTGTTATTGGAAATACTCTGGCCTGGTATCGATTCGATCCTTAATGTTTGTCCTCCGACGATGATCCTACTGTATCAATCGGGCCCGATCTCTCCCCAGCGGGCCAATACGACCCCCCCCCTCTGTGACATGTCGAGGATTCCTCAACGCACGCTTGACCCTGCCCCGACTCAACACTGTTTGAAAGTGCGGGGCCGATGTAATAGTTTACGAATCAAGCGTTCGCTAGCGAATCGCTGGATCTACGCCTTCGATCCCACTGCCATTTCTGTTTGATGGTGATGGTTGAATGAAGATTTTGCGTAAATCTACGCATTCGCGGCGCGCCGATCCTCGTGGTCGATACGTATTTTAGACAACAATGTCTAAAAGTTGATTTGTTTTTTTCTCGTTGTTTACTCAGACCTCACACAAAGCACGTTGTGCTGAAGGGCGGAGCCTAGCAATCATTGGGTTCGGACGAGCTCTCGCGCCGGTGTCGTGGCTTCGACACGTCGATCACTAGTGCTTGGGTCTGTGGTGATATTTAAAGAAATTTAATTGTATTGTAGTTGCTAAAAATTCGTAGTAGTTCCTTTTCGAGGAAGCCTATCATATAGTCGAAAGAGTATGAATTTTGACTCTCAAAGTTTTCAGCAGTGTATACCTGTTTGGCAAAACTGTAAACCTGTGGTAATTGACTGGAATGTCATTCCGTAGAAAGCTTATTGAATTACAATGGTATTTTCGGGCAAGGTGAGCTTTGGATTGCATATTTTTGCATTCCAAATTTGACTGAACTTTCTCTGCTTTCTTCATCAGATTCCGCACGGCGATAAGTTCCATTTCAGATTCAGTCGCGTGCTGCTTTTTGGAGTGTTTTTATTTCTAGTTTTCTTCGTAATGGTTTATATGCAGGATCGTAACAAAGTAAGTCTTGGCTAGCACACTTTTCTTGTTTCTATGTGTTGCTTGTATTTCCACCATTCAGATCACGTTTTCCACGAATGATGTTGCTGTTAATAATCCGAAGAGCAGGTCACTTCCAGTGACACACCTACCCCAATTCCCGGATATCGAGTATAATTACAGAAAAAAAAATCCGTAGTGAAAAAAGCCTAAAAACATTGGCACTTTAACAAATAGAAATCATTTACCCGGCTGGTTGGAAGGCATCTCCGGTGTCTTGGGTTCATAATTGCCTAGTTCTTCACCAACAAAAACTGTGTTTGGATCCACACTTCCAGCCAACTCACTATCCTTCCACGCTTCAGGAAGCGGATTATTAACAGCAACATCATTCGTGGAAAACGTGATCTGAATGGTGGAAATACAAGCAACACATAGAAACAAGAAAAGTGTGCTAGCCAAGACTTACTTTGTTACGATCCTGCATATAAACCATTACGAAGAAAACTAGAAATAAAAACACTCCAAAAAGCAGCACGCGACTGAATCTGAAATGGAACTTATCGCCGTGCGGAATCTGATGAAGAAAGCAGAGAAAGTTCAGTCAAATTTGGAATGCAAAAATATGCAATCCAAAGCTCACCTTGCCCGAAAATACCATTGTAATTCAATAAGCTTTCTACGGAATGACATTCCAGTCAATTACCACAGGTTTACAGTTTTGCCAAACAGGTATACACTGCTGAAAACTTTGAGAGTCAAAATTCATACTCTTTCGACTATATGATAGGCTTCGAAAAGGAACTGGTCCACTTCTAAGAATTTTTAACAACTACAATAGAATGAAATTTCTTTAAATATCACCACAGACCCAAGCACTAGTGATCGACGTGTCGAAGCCACGACACCGGCGCGAGAGCTCGTCCGAACCCAATGATTGCTAGGCTCCGCCCTTCAGCACAACGTGCTTTGTGTGAGGTCTGAGTAAACAACGAGAAAAAACAAATCAACTTTTAGACATTGTTGTCAGTTTTCGAAACATCAGAATTTTCGGATTCTACGAACCAATTAAATGCTATCGACGAGCAGGATCGGCGGCGCCGCGAATGGCGTACATTCGGAACAGTCTTCATTCAACTATCACCATCAAACAGAAATGGCAGTGGGATCGAAGTAGATCCAGCGATTCGCTAGCGAACGCTTAATTCGCAAACTATGCCGGACGCATAGTCGGTCGGACGACAGCAACGATCGCAAGTGTCGGCACAGCATTGGGTGCGTATGATCTGCGAATGGTGCTAACTTAGTTGGGGGGGGCCACGCGGCGGCGCGGCAGTCTGCTCACCTGGGCTCTCTCGAGCGAGACAGTGTAAACTCGAACATTCCAGCTTTTCACGCATGTCAAGTGACTGCCCCCACCCCCACCCCCTAGACTGCCTACACTCCCCCTGGCCCACGGATTTCCGAACATGCCAGGCGAGCAGACTGCCGCGCCGCCGCGTGCCCCCCCCAACTAAGTTAGCACCCTGCGACAGCACGCGACACTTACGACTGCTGCTGTCGGACGACAGCAACGATCGTAAGTGTCGCAGATCAATACGCAGCTACTATTCCACACTACAGTGGGACTTTCGAAATACGATCACGCGCAGTCACGTGTTGTCTGGGTTGCACGCGGTTTATGCGACACTTGCGGTCGTTGCTGTCGTCCGACAGTAACGACGACTATGCGTGCGGCCTATGACAATCGGCCAACCAGTGTGGTCCTTCAAAGTGAAATTCCTTTAAACGCGTTGGGTTCGCACTTCAAACCAGTGTGAGTCGGTGGTACATCATTCGATCGCTCGGTAACATACAGTCGATATCTTCGAATTCTGCCCTCACCTGCTAGGATGTTGTGCGGATAAGCTGCTGTCGCAAGCACGCTTGCTGATATCTGGTGAGGAGCGTTCTATATCGCACACACATCTATCAGTGTGAGCTGCACGTCATTTCGGTGATAGGCCCATCGACTTTCGGGATATAGACTATTAGCTGTTCGACTCGCTGGCGCAATCGGTCGATTCGCTGGTGCAACGTTCGATTCGCTTGCGCAACGCTGGATCCAGCAGTTCGCTAGCGAATCGCTCGATTCGCAAACTATGACATCGGCCTTGCGATCGCTATGAAATCGCTGTGCAATGCTAGTCGGGTGTGCGCGCCGATTTTATACTAGGCGCTGAGTGTGTGTACGTTTGGACTGGCCACTTCACTGATAATGCTCCAGCAGAAACCACCGAGTTACGGGCCGCAGCAGTGTCGGCAGCATATGCTGCCGACACGCCCACTCGTCCGTGATTGGCTACCACCACAAAGGTTACTGCGTGCAGACACGAGCCAGCCAGTCAGAGACTAGTGGGCGTGTCGGCAGCATATGCTGCCGACACTGCTGCGGCCCGTAACTCGGTGGTTTCTGCTGGAGCATTATCTGAGTATATGTCGTGAAATTCCATAGACTGAGCCTTTGAGGTAAGGGGGCATTTCCGCGTATTTCAGAGCGAAGCCACGAATTCGTGAGCCAAATGGAGTGTAGCCAAGTTGTTCACTGATAAAGAAAATTGGAATTTAAGTCCTTTCTCTGTAATGAATGCCAAAACTATTTTCCGATGTGGATGTGTCAAGTGAAACATATATCTTTCTATCCCTTTAAGTTTGTATTTACTTTCACTACCTTTTCTCACTGACATGTTCATCAGAATAGGAAGAAAACGAGGGATGAACCGAGCTGCCAATTCCGCTGTGCTTAAAAAACTTCTGCTAAACTGGAGCATATTTGATCATACCGTGACTCCATCCGTCCGTTCACTAGTTACTAATTGTTATGATTTGTAAACCATAGACTAGAGGGGCAGCAATTCATCCCCGCAATACGCTAGAAAAGGCGAATGACGAAGGGTGAGACGCGCAACCGCGTCTCAATGTAATGTGTTAAACCGCATCAGTGTGATGCACCCGCCCGCGCTCGCTCTCCTAAAGTGCGGCTCATGACTACTGTGTTCTAACAAATTGAAACTTTTGCTAGACTGTGATTGGCTCATCCACCCCAGAGGCCACCCCTTCTCATCGCAAGGTTGAACCGCAGGGCTCCTACTTGTTTCTTGGGATCTGGTGTCGAGCCATGTGCTTTTCTCCTTTGTGGCTCCAATTCATGGTGTGGGGGTGAGACCGCTCCATGAAAACTGCTGCGCGACGCGTGCGGTGTTTGGTAAGGCCAGTGTCGACTTTTTTGCCTTCCTCTTACTGAAGAGCACTGTGCGCTTCACTGGACGCGTATTGCTGGAGCTCGCATAAGCTAGAGTCGGGGTCATCCCCAAAAGGAAAAAAGAAAAATAGGAGCGGCGTTCATGTCGGCGTGAGGGTAGCTACGGGGACTTACGCCGCGCTCGCTGCCCGCCACTATGCCACGCGGACTCCTAGTAGGCCTAAGCAGCCCCGACTGGAAGTATACCACAACCCACTACGTACCACATTGCCATGGACTACGCCGTGATGTTCATGCCCAATAAACTACGCGCCTTATGAAGATCTCCGGCCGGCTATTGCATCATCGAAATATTAGGTCAACTCATTCAAACATGTCCAGACATCTAGAGAAATGGTGGGAAAAGTAAAAGAGCTAGAGCATTCTACTTGCTTTTGCTTTTAAGCTAGCACACCCAGCTACGGTATACCCTAATTTAGTTTATAGTGCTGCAGGAGGAAACACTTAAACACATAAAAGAATTCATAGTGACCCAAATCGAGGTGGAATTTCCAGATGACTGGTGACACACGTAAAATTCGCAACTCGAATTCTGTGTGTGCTGGCTCAACTTACGCGTGATACAGTGTTCTCGAAGTGCTACGTTGAAGATATGGTGTGAGAGCTCAAAGAAGGGAGAACGGAAGCGAGTTGTGGTTGAGGACGCGTTCATATTGTCCACCTTGCCCAAGAAGAGCGGGTGGATGAAATGAGGTTTCAAATGGCGCATCACAGATGTTGAACCTTTGCGATGTTTGCCCACGAGACTTGCAGTCTAGCTGCACCTGCGTAATGTTTTGAATATCCCATTTACTCCCAGATGCAGGAGTCCAGAATCGAATTGGTGTCTGTAGCAATGATTTTCTCTGCCGATAACGGCATTTAAGACTATCAAACTGGACCCTGCTCATAAACGAAATTTGTGTGTAATTGTACGCTGAGGCCAAAGTCAGAAGTGTCAACTTTGGATTAACGCGAATGAGGAACTGCCCGAATTGGATCACGAGAAGTCACGTGGGTTCACGTGGATGATTATTATGGCGATGGATTTCTGAGGTGTGCCTCTTAAATGGCTCTGTCGGGAAAAAACCTCCGGCGTTTCTCAAGTTTATGGCTTGTTTCTTAGCGAACAAATTGAAGGAATAGCAGTATAGCAAACTATTAGGTTGTCCCATAATTAGTGAATCACTTTACATTTATGTTATTAAAAATCCAAGAAAATTGGTGAAGGCGTGAAACATGTTTTGCGAAGTAGCATCCACATTGTCCTACCTGAGCAATTACTCAGCCCATTTCCATGCTGCCTTCCGTGGCTGACATTTCAATTTTTCTGGAACCTATTTTTGAGCTCCCTTCTTAATCACTTCTGATTAAGGATCTTTCAAACGCCCAACAATATAGAGAATCGACCAGCAGATAGGCGAGGGCACGCTCCCTCACTCCACGGTCTGCTTATAGTTCACTCTATCGAGAGGTTGGCTTTTTTAGTTGAAGATGACCCACACTCCAACTACCCCTCAACTGGCAATCTCAGTGCTGTACCCAGCGCCACTAAGCGTGGAATATGGACGAACTAGCCGCCTTTTGCTAGAGCATGCCCGACTTGTTAAAATGATGGAATGTAGACATCTACGTAGAGTTGTAACGATTTTAAAATATTTAATTTGTATCTCGTGTGCTTTGAGCTCGAAACAGCTCCGCACACGATCTGACATCGTCATGTTCCTTCTGATCTCCCTTAGTTCCTTACAGTGATCATCCAGCTTATTCACCAGGGTTCTGGACTGCGTGAAGTGTACTAGCAAATCTCCGAGGAGCAGTAGCCCAGCGTGAACGATTCGGGAGTTCTGATAGCAAAAGCCAAACCTCATTCTAGTCCGACCCTTCAGAGATATTGGTGGAGCACGAGAGTGACCATGCGCTGGGAACCGCCGCCTAGTAATACTAGAGTCACTGAAGAAGATCAACATCTACAGCGTAATGGCGGCGCATTCAATTTGAAAGTAAAGCAAGACAAAGTCTGCTTTTTTCCTGAGGTCGTTCGACCCACCTTGCGGAGAATATTCATAAAAAATTAGAGACTCTCAAGCTAGCCGATCTTCCACTTCCTCTGTGTGGCCCTATCCTCGTGCCAACAAGAGGCAACTCAGTTTGACCTCTAGCGCTCTTCCCCAGGAGGAATTTTACGCTAAGTGACATGACCTCAAACTCGACTTCCGATCTTTCTTCGATCAATAGCTCCTGGAATTTCTAGAGATAAGACAGCGACAAAATTTCCTTGTATAGGCAATACATTGTAGATGACAGGGATGTATGTTTGGATGAGCAAAGACTCCATATGAAAAAGAAAAAAATTCGAATTCAAAAATACCCAAAGTGATTCACTAATTATGGGACAACCTAATACAATAACGATATCATCACCTATGTCGATACCAGACCCTACATAGCTCATATTGCTCACGGGTATTTCGATCAAACGGATATTGTGGCCTCTTCTTATCAGCCGTATTTTCCAACTGCAGCCATGCGACCTCAGCTGTTTTATCGAACTGAACGCCCTACTCGTTCGGAAGCGCTACGACAATTCGTTGATCATCTATACTGACATCGAAAGCATCTTGTC